TGCTGGGTGACAGATGGGACAAATACATTAATTTCCCTTCTTGTCTATGATGTCTTTTCCTCCACCTTGCACACATTCTCTTATCTTTTTTTATAATAGTATTTTTCCTGCCAACTCCATAAGTATTAAGTCCTGTATGTGTACCTGAGCATATGTATGAAAGCTCCTGGAATACCAGTTTTAAGCCAGGATGCTGCTGGTCCATGTCAGACATGGACAAATGATCTGTTCCCTCTAAGGGGAAAGAAAATGACATACCAGAGGAAGATGAGCATGAAGGCCACACCTGAGAGACATTCTGTCCCCACTCTCACTGCCCACACCAGCCTGTGCCAGGACCTCTGGGTGCTGGAGAAGCAGCTTCTTCTTTAAGAAACCACCTCCCTGAGACAGTGTCTTCCCTCAGCACCCCTGGATTATCCCAGCTGGGTGTGGAGGAGAGCAAAGCTGTGGTGCAATTAGCAACGTCTTTAAGAAGTCCTTCTAAGAACAGAAATCAGGTAAAGTAGCTAAATAATTTCATAGCCCATCCTGTCCATAATACACTCACAATCCCTCTTTTTGCATCTTGCCAAGGGCCAAATAATTTGTTGTCTGTGAAAGGCAGGGAAGAGCTGCTCCCTCTCTGTGGTCACCACCCCTGTCCTGCCCGTGCCAGCACTGAATTTCAGGGCATCAGGTTCTGTCCTCTGCTGGCTTTGTTGTCCCAGAGGATGGTTGTTGGTCACTGATGTTGGGAAATGAGCTGAACCTCGTGGCACCCCCCAGAATGGAAACAAAAGCTTGTCTTTAAGTGTCACTCCTCACTCTCCTGAGAAGGTCACTGCAGTGTCACCCCCCTCCTGCCAGATGCTTGCAAGTCATTTACAGAAATACAACTTTCAGGGTCATTGTTCCCCCAAATCATGAGAACTCCCGTGTTGTCTAAGGGAGACCTGATTATTGTCATTCTCTGACTAATCAGCAGATCTCTGAAAGCCTCTGGTTGTTCAGAGAACCCTGAACATTCCCAGGCTGGACTAGTTCATCTCCACAATTTGCTGTTAGAAATAGCAAAAATGTCACTTGTCTTAAAATATATGGTCTGCTGTTCCCTTCCTAAAGGTGCTGTTATGCCAACAATAAATCTGCAAAGAGACTGCAGGCAGAGAGCAGGATGTGATGTATTCAATATTCATCACTCTGTGACCCAAAGGAGTATCAGGACACTTCACATCAGGAAATTCCTCTCTCCAATTTAGCAGTTTTGAAACGATGGGCCAAAATACAACCCCGGAGGTTGCAGTTGCACCTTCAATTGATTTTAAGGCAATAAGCCCAAAGGACTTTGTAAAAAACACTGCCTCATTTCCAGAATGCAGGTCAGGCTGGCTGGCTGGGCTTTGCATATTTATGTTGTCTGTAGCTAATTTTAAGGGCCTGGTGGCATTTACCGACATTTTCCTTTTTCCTTATCTTTAACCCTAGAAAACTCATTTGCTTCCTTGATGGGGTCAGGACCCTCAGCAGTGCAAAGGACAGTTGCAAAGGCCACCTCTCTGTGCAGGTATTTATTTGAAGCCAACAGGAACCAGGTCAAAGAGGTGTCATTTCCCTCTAGGAACGGGAGGGGCACAGAAAATTTGGATAAGCTGTCCAGGAGGAAGACAAACTGCAGAAATAATCAGGTGACTCCTCCTCTTCCTGAGGAGTAAAAAGCCTTGGAGATTTGGAAGAAGGAAGAAGGGAAGCTCAGATATTCACAGTGAAGGTGATGTAAATTGGGATTTTACACATCCTGATGAGTAGGGAGCTGCCAACAGACCTGTTTGTTACCCCAGTACCTGGAAAAATCAAGCAATGCCTGTGTCTCTCCTTATCTAAGCTCTGCAAAACCTTTATTTCTCCTGCATTCCTAAGCTGGGTGATAGAAAAGGGTGGAAAAATGGCTTTTGCAATGTATTTATGATCATATTATTCTCTGCATTCCAGCATTGAACAGAATCCATAACCCCTCATTGACAGAGGAGAGAATGGAGGGACCAGAGAGGCGATGTTAGTGCAGCCTGGTGGAGAACCAGCCCTGGAACCCACACCCAAATAACAGTCTGAGGGGCATCTGAGGGATGATTAAGACAGCAATAAAATATTAAAACTTAAAATAAAATCTTCCCCCCGGTATGATATTGTTGGCAACCCACCTTGCACAACAGCAGGAGCCAGGAGCAGCCATAGGAGGAAAACTCAAGACAGTTTTGGTGTCAAGAGGCAATTATTTGATTTTATTCAGCACTTTGGACAGGTCTGTTCATCCCAATTTCTCAAAATCCTGCCTAGATCTTTAATCCAGAGAATGAGTGCTCTTTCTTAACATATTCCTATCAAACAGTGTTTAAATTTCAGCAACAGCATCAGGAGCTGGTTTTCATATATACCCAAAGCAAGTACACAGGATTTAAAGTAATGATCTCTGAGTTTATCTTCATCAGCCTTCTTGCCTCTGGTGTTGTGCTTAGATCAGATTATCTCATTTAAATAGCAATGGGTTATGGAAATAAAAAAAGTCTAATCTGTTCCCTCACTGTGTCACTGTGAATGTTTTACTCTATTTTATTTTGTCCCCTAAGGCACTTGCAAGAAAACCCCAAAGACCTTTGTTGAGTCACATAAAAAACCTCTGCTGGAAAATAAGGGCTGAAGGGAATGTTATTTTTTCCATGTAAAGAGAATATAGAGGGTAGTTTGATTTCTGAGTGATTGAATTACCATTTTGGGGGGTAATAATACCCAGCTCTGCCTGTACAGGACGTTTAATCCTTAGATTTAAAATGAATTTATAGGTCAAAACCGTTTTCATTCTACATGTCTGGTAGAATTGAGGCAGGAACAAGGAAGAAATGACTGACCAATGTCATTTAACAACCTGAATTACCTTTCAAAGCCCAGCCCACAGAGCTGCTCTGCTCAGCATCGAGACTGGTTCCTAATTTTCCCACTCAGTTCTGTTACTCCTAAATTGATGTGAACCATCCATGTAATAAATCAAAGAAGTTTTGCCCGTAACTGCAGTTTGACTGTTGCCATCAAACATATTTCAGGATGTCATGTAGTGAAAACCAGCAGAGCTCCACTGAAATCAATGGAGTTAATTTATACCCAGGTATAAATTAACTTATCTCACTGAAGTCACTGGGAGAGTTTGCTCTTCCTTTAATTGGCAGCAAGATCAGGACAAAAGGGCCGTTGTGATCTGCCCCTGGTGCCTGGGAATATGGAATATTTAATTTTTTATCTATTTTTAAGCCTTCAAAAAACCTGAACGAGTGGCTGTAAAAGTGAGCTCCCAGGATCTTTTAACTCAGCTGGCCCAGGACACTGGGCTGGTTAAAAGATGATCCTTTACCAGGAATGAGGAAGATGACAAAAAGTTTGAAAAATTAAAGCTTTGTGGGAAAAAAAAGCTGAAGGAACAGTCTATATTCAGAGCTACAAAACATGGGTATAAAAATATCTCGTCTATCACTGGGTTGTGCTGCTCCTCCAGTGGTTCATATTCCAGGATCACCATGGATTTCACAACCTAAAGCAATCAAGAAATTATAGAGGAATTCTTGCACCCTAAAAGATTGGTAAATTGGGAAATAAAGGGAATATTAGGGCACTAAACAGGTGTTTGTTGTGTTTAGTTCAGCAAATCTGGGCTTCAATGAGCCACTGCTTGCTTGAAATATTTTATATATTACAATAATTTAATATGAAGTCCTTACCATGTTGGTTGTTTGTTACTGAAATGGGCATCTAGTATTGATTTAACAGAAAGTCTGATCCTGAGATTTACATTTTTTATCCTGAGATTTACATTCCACATTGAGACAAAATGGCATCGAGTTTAATTTAAATTGTGTTTTAATATACTACTGAAACCTGCACTCTGCTCTGCTTCTTCATTTCAAACAGCTGCTGACTCATGCACTACATAATTAATTTAAGTATCATTTGAGGTCACTTTAATACAATTTCCTCCTAAGTACATGAGTAATATCCTGGCTATTTAGAGTTCAATACATTAATTGTAGACAAAAGTCAGTTGTCATGGTTTCTATCACAGCCAAGTGTGAGGGGTCAGTTCATCCCCAAATTCATTATAACCTCAAAGAGTTCAGTTCCCATTCTGTGCCTGTTTTCAGATGGCTCTGTAATGAGTCACATGAGTTAATCCCATTTAGATGGTTTTATGAAGCAGGATTGTCAAAGTTATATGCTTTAATTGTCAAGTTATATGCTTTAATTAGAAGAAAGGTTCAAAAAAAGGAATGAACTCAGAATACCAAACCCTCAGTGTGAGCAATGCCCAGGCAGGCAGGAAAGAACATTTTACCTCACAATATGTTACCAACTGTTGATATTTTAATTAAGCACAAGGGATATTCAAGGAGGAGAAGGCAGGAGCACAATCCTGCTTCCTCCAGCCACCCTTTGTCCTCTGAATCCAACCTGAGCACTGCCAGGATGCCCAGCACTTGGATCAGGGGCAGGGTGGGTTGATGAGGGTCTATCATCACACCAACAGGAGGCAAAGAAAGAACCTTTACATTTACTTTGGGCACTCAGCAAGATTTTCTTTCATTTTTGGGTATTTATATTCTGATTGCCCTTATTCAACGCTCCCAAACTGGGCTGGTTTTCCATCCAGCTCCATTTGCTGGCCTGGGGGTTGGTGATGCTGTGGCCAAGAAAGGTCTCTCATGGATGTTGTTACCCAAGTAACAGTTGTATTTTAGACTACTTTTTAAAGCTTTTACCAGGATTTCACCTTTCTTATGATCTTGAAACGTGTTTTCCTGGTTCAAAGGCAGAACCATGAGTTGCTTAAAATTAAAGCATGTCCTAATAAAAGCTCCTTAGTCACCTGTTCATACAAATAAGTCCTGTTAGTTTTGGTAATTGCTTCTCCTTTCTTGAAGAATTATGACACTGATATAGATTTATCAATCACAAACACTAATAGTGGAACATTTTACCTGTGCTGCAGCTCATGAATGGCAGCAGACTTATTAGTTTCCATAGCAACACCATCTCCACTTTCCAAGGTCAAAAATTCCTCCCATCCAATCAGTGGAAGAAAGTAAAGTGTGTCTTCCTGTGACTACCTTGATATTCTGCAAAAACAGGAAGAGATATTGGGTAATTAAAGCACAGATTCCAAACAAATACCCCAATTTCCCCTGTGTAAAATCATGTTCTGCTGCACCATTTGAAGACTCAGACCCTAAAAATGCAATAAGTAGTCTAGATGGGATCATCTGAGCATAAAAATAATTCCAGAATGACACAAAGCTGGTGATGAGATGAGTGAAAATCAGGAAATGTTGGAGTTTCATCCACCCCTTCCATGTGGGACAGAGATTCCTTATGCAGGAGGGAGTTTCTCCAAGCAGGAAAACAAAATTTTGATGTGGTTCCTCTGCCAGACATTGAAGGCATAGAAAAAAAAGGTGTTTGCAAAAAATGGGCTTTTCTCAGCTCCTAAATGTTCATCACACTTTGTGATGTTTCTTGTCCCATCTCAGGGCTGGAGCACCTCTGCTCTGGAGACAGGCTGGGAGAGTTCTGGGTGAGAGGAGAAGGCTCCAGGGAGACCTTAGAGCCCCTTCCACTGCCTCGAGGGGCTCCAGGAGAGCTGGAGAGGGACTTTGGATGAGGGCCTGGATGGACAGGACAAGGGGAATGGCCTTAAGCTGCAGGATGGTAGATTTAGATGGGATATTAGGGAGAAATCCTTCCCTGTGAGGGGGGGGAGGCCCTGGCACAGGTTGCCCAGAGAAGCTGTGGCTGCCCCATCCCTGGAAGTGTCCAAGGCCAGGTTGGATGGGGCTTGGAGCAACCTGGGCTGGTGGAAGGTGTCCCTGCCTATGGCAGGGGGTGCAATGAATGGGCTTTAAGATCCCTTCCAACCCTGTGATTCCATAATTCCATAGTGATCTGCCTTCTGATCCCAGCAATGATCCTTTGGTGAATTTATTGTGACCTGAGCAGACACTGCTGCCAAATGTGATCTCACCTGGGAGCAGAAGGTAACACAAGTCATTTGTGCACCATGGAAAACCCACACCTTTTCTGGGCTAAGCTTTCCTATTCAGCAACGAAACATTCCCCCATAAGGATTTACGTAACAATTTCATTTAATTTTCCTTTGACATTTCAGTCAACATATGATGAATTAAGCCAGGAAAAAGGATCTGTTTGGCCTGTACTCCCAAAGGGCAAACGACTAATTTACTGTTGGGAATCAGTTCATAAAGCAGCTGCAACCAGAAATCACTTCATCAAATGAGTTTACAAAATTGTGAAATCATTCCAAACCTTTTAAGTGCTGAAAATTTTCCACTGAGAAATTACATTTATGATCCGCTTTTACAGGTCCATATTCTCTTCTCACTTGTCTCATTTTTCATACCAGTGTGAAAAGATATCATATAGGATTATCCTGAAACTTATTGCTGATACGAGTGAGGGAGACATTTTTTAGAAAATTAAGGAATTCAACTCTTTTGAAAGTCATCCCCCTTCTATAAGGGATCTAATTCTGTTCATATTTTTTGTAAGCTTCACTTAAAAATTTCAGGAGGTCTCAGAGGAAACGCTTTTAAACCTGGGGCACCACTGTAAGTGGCCATTTCAGGGGGAGGAGCTTGACAAGCTTCTAAGTTTTGAAAAAGGGATTGAAAAAACAGTTTCTTTCAGCCTTTTGTGATGTCCTACTTCACACACATCTGGGCTCTTCTGAAGCACATTTGCATCATTTGTAAGTGTTTGAAAAGAAAAATATTTAAAAAGTGCTAAATTATGATTCTTGCAAAGTAGAAAGAGAGAACACAGAGCTGGATGGTACCTTTAGACATCAACCCTGCCCCAAGCAGCAGGAACTGCACTTAAAATACCCTCAATAAATATTTACTGTCTTTTTAATACTTTTTTTGGTGCCTTTCTTTAATACTTGCATTCAGTTCAGGTTCCACTCTAACCCCTTCTTTAAACCACCTGTCGATACTGAGGGTGGGCATTGATTATTTCTACTTAAGTGTAAAACCTTGTGCTTTTCCTTATTGAATCCCATCATATTTATTTCACAGCCTTTCTCTTGCTTGTCAATATTTGTCCTGAAGCTGCTGTGCACATCTCTGATATTTAAGACAACAAAACCCACTTTACCTTTTTTCCCCTTGTCCTTCCTAAACAGAACGTGTCCCTTCAGAGCAAAATGCACGAATTCTAATTATCTACTTAGACGCCACGTTAATTTATCTTATATTAATTACTTTTCTGACTTTCCCTGTGTCACGATTTCACCTTTTTTTTCCTAACTATAGGTCGGCAGGAGTGAAAAGACTCCCCAAATCACCAGACCTGTGTGTCCTGCAGTACCGCGGGGTGAGGAGGCTCAAATTGCCCATTTACTGACAAACCCTTTGTTTGCTGTTAGCAGATAACAACCAGAATTTGTCTGCAATTTATCCTCTATTGCTGTGCTTGTTGCAGAGAATTTTGCACATTCCCACGTGTTTCCTTGGCCTTCCTATTTCAATTCACCTCCTGTGCTTGGTGTTTTTCTGTGGTTATTTTTCTTGCCATTTCCCTGTGCTGCCCAGGTTGGTGCCACCCAACTCCTTTCCCTCAAGATCTCTAAAACTAACCCTGTTTCTGCTTAAGCCACATTTGTTGTATGAATTATTTAGTGCAGGTCACCTGAAATCCTTTTTAAGACTTGCCAAAGAAAATTATGGCTCAAAGGAAATGATTTACACCCTCCAGGCTTACTCATGTACTTCCTGAGGGGAATATTCTCAACAACAAAAAATAACCAATAAAAGCCAATTAACTGACCATATCCAGTATTTTCCAAGACATTTGTACTCTCTCACAGGGACAGATCCTTCTGAAAACCTCCCTGTTTTCTATTCTCCTCCTGCTGAGTTATAGATGAGTCTTTTGAAACCAAGAAGCTTCTGCCAATATTTAGAATATATAACTCAAATTCTTTGTATTCATGCAAGGTATTGATCAATCCTCAGAACTGTAATTCTCCTGCTTCTAAGACTGCAAATTATGGGGCATTACTGTAAATATATATATATATATATATATACACACACACATATTTCCTTTCAGTAACCCAACTGTTTTACTCCTTTCCCTCTGACAAACACAAGGACCTAACTGGCAAGCAGGCACTTAATAATTTTTACAATGTCTTTCCAACAGCAGCTTCCATGGGATTATTTACTGTCAAACTAAATCAAGAATAAATGAAAAAACTGAAATATTTATAGCATAAGAAAAATCTGGTTCAGACCAGAAATCCCAGCCAGGCATTAAATCAAGAAATGTAACAAGATTCTGCCATCATACCCTTTGTTTTCTGGACGTGCTGCTATCACTTATTTTAATTGTTATGCCACAGTTTGAGCAGAGAGATGGATGGAAAACAAAATATGTTAAATATGATCATGGGAGAAACATTACATTTTCCCCTAAAAATACTGATTGCATGTCTATTTGTCCCCGGGATGTAATTTATACAAATATATTTGTTACAGGGGTAGTCAACATCACTTTTTGTTGTTTTTCCATTAGAGAAAACAAGTCCATAGGAAAGAACTCAATCCTCAGATACTTTATACCTGTTGTTTTTCCTTCTTATCTGTGGGGGAAGGAAAGATTTCTGTTCCTGAGACATCCAGATGTGACATGTGGGACATCCAGGGGTGTGGAAGGGATGAATTGATGGAAGGAAGGTGGATGAAACCCAGCACAGAGGGGTTGTGCAGCATCTGCCTCTCATTGCAAACACTCCGGGTCACATGATTGGAAAGAAAGCACACAAAAGTACTCCTTTCATCAAAACATTTCTTCCTGGATAGTTGGAATATCAAAAAATTCCACCTAAACATGGGATTTGAGTAGAGTATTGACTTAGTGACGTTGCACTCAGCACAGAGAGGGAAAGGCTTTCTTGTGTGGCTGAAGCTTGAAGTTGTGTTGCTGTTTCCTCAGCACTGGAATTTAGAAGGAGACATGTTATGGATTCATTTATTCATTAAAATGATCTGACATCTCTTTAGTACATTAACAGAAGTGCCAATACTTCATTCTTCACTGAGCTGAGGCTCGACTTGCTGCTGAGGCTTTGACTTTCAAGACTTCTACTCTCTCCAATTGCTTATTTTTTGAGCAACAAAACACTTGCAAGATCAAGTCTGTGACAAAGAACAAAATGTTCTTGTGGTGTCACCTGAGTTTTTGTGAAAATAGGCCCCATTTCACATTTCTGCCACAGTTGTGTTGGTTTTGTGAAAGCAGGAGAGCGTCTGTTCAGGTGCTGATCTGACATCATGCTGGGGTAAAACTTGTCAGGCACTGGAATGATGAGATTTTGCTCTTGGCCAAATTCAAGGAAATGGACATTTTTACCCATGGCAAAATGCAGCTGTGTTTGCAGAAATAGCAGCTTTCTAACCTGGTGAAAGGAACAATGTTTAACCAAAGAGATTTGGGGCTGAATCCCACAGGGATGCTGCTGGTGGAGCTTCACTCCAGGGCTGGTATATCGGTGTAGCCACCTATAGAAAAAGTTCTGTTGAATGTATGTAGAAGGAAAGGAATAAAAATGTGAAGAGAAGAGGCTAAAATCCAGGGAGTGCATGCACAGCCTTTTTTTCTGCAGCCTCAGCTTTCCCTCCCACCAGCTTCCACACATCTATATTATCTTTTGAATTTGGCCTTACATACTTTTGTATTCTTCATCTGCCAGGAAATAAGCCAAGTCTGTCCCAGCCAGGCTTGAATTCTTGGCACACCATTGCCCCTGATCTCTATATTGTCTCCTGAGCACCTGATTTGAAGGCATCTAATGTGAATTTTCTCATGAATGCCAATGATATACAGCTACATTTTTCTTTTCAAACTTTTTATCCCTGAGGCACTTTCTGCACTCAAACCATTTTCCAGATATCCATAACAGACTGAATAGCAAACACTTGCAACTACCAGAGCAGAAGCAGAAGAGACCAGTTTTTCAGGCTGCAGCAAGATTTACTTATGCTGCTGCAGTACTTAGTGCTTATTTAGAATTATTGAACCATATTTCGAGGGAGAAAAG